TGGCATTTGGATAGGGGGAGTCTTGTCGGACTGAGACCTTGACCGATGGGATCTGACGCTGTCTCCAGAGAGTGTCAGAATTGAGTTACATTTTAGGACACTCAGCTGGTGTCACAGAATTGCTTGTTGTGAGGAAAAACCAGGACCCACACACAAAACCCACACATCTGATGACCGCAAGTGTCCAGAGTGTTCTGTGTGAAAGTAGAGGAGAAAGACACAAGAAGGGAGCTGTGGGGTTGTCCAGTACAGCCATCTATGGCAAAATGTTAAGATTTGTCAAAGCTAACAGGTAGATACAAAGATATCAACCTTATGATTCTGTATACTTTCTTTGTACACTTGCCATATTTCACAAATTAGAAGAAAAAGGACCTGACGTACACCGTGGAAAATATTGCCAACAGTTCAAGAGGCTGTACAATGAAAAATAAATACCTGTTCATTTCAGATCTGTGATCCTCCTCAGAGACGCTCATGGGCTGTGGTCAATTTCATATGCATCTTTCAGGAGCAGTCTGCAAAGGCAAGCTGTAGTATCCACAAGACCTGCTCCCCTTGGAAGCATACGTACACACATACATCCTTACACACCTAGATGTCTGATCTTACCCATGTGGGAAGCAGACCTGCACATTGAAGCCTTCCATTTGGAAAGTCTACCTTGTGACCCTTGATTTTGGACACTCACTAGAAACCACTCTGTTTTCTCTGTCAGTGGACCTGAACCCATCTTGCATGTCTTTTCCAATTGGCGATTAATGTGGGCCTTTCTTATTAACTAGGGTCAGCTTTCTTTGGAGAATGACTGCTTAGCTCTTTGAAGCTTCCTTCTCAGGCTCCCTAGAATGCAATTTCCAGGTGCCAAACAACCCATATTTTAAGTCAGACCATCCCAAACACATCCTTAAAATTTGGTGAAAATCTGTCCTGCCATTTTCTTAGGATATGGTACGTAAATAGACAAAAAGTCACGAACTTCCCTTTATGATGTGAATAAACCCCCCCACTGCTCCCCCACTCTGACCTTTAAGGGAAAAGAGAGAGAGAGAGAGAGAGAAAACTTACAAAATGAGAACACGCGTGGCACACTGTCCGTACCTTGCCTTTTTTTTCTTACTTATCACTGTATCTGAGATGGTTTTGTGTTTCCTATCAGTCCACACAGTTTTGCCTTTGTAATTTATAGTATAAATACTGGTTCAATTTCATTTGTGAATATGCTGGGGACTAAATTCCTAGTAATCTTTTCTTTCTAAAATAAAGTCTTAATTTCTGTTAAGTGTTAGGTGACCAACTCATCCTTTTGCTTGGGGGTTTCTGTTTTATCGCTTAAAAGTCCTATGTCCCGGAAACCCCTCAGTTCTGCGCAAAGTGGGATGTTTGGTCACCATGTTTAAGTACCATGTGAACAGTAGACAAATTTGAATAGAAAGTAGTTCATTATAACAACACAAGTAATGATCTTCCCTTTTGCCCTAAAATGAAATTATTTTTATAAACCTTTTTAGAAGTTTATTTGTATTTATTTTGAGAGAGAAGGAGAGAGAAAGTGAACGAGTGGGGGAGGGACAGAGAGATGGAGTGAGAGGACCCCAACAGGCTCTGAGCTGTCAGCCTGGAGCCTGACTTGGGGCTCGAACTCACGAACCATGAGGTCATGACCTGAGCCGAAATCAAGAGTTGGATGCTTAACCGACTGAGCCCCTCCCCCCCCAGGTGCTTCCTAAAAAGAACTTGTTAACCAAATATTGTCCACATAGAATAAGGATTGTCCTAGGACTTTTGCTAGAGTTGGGGGTTGCCTCACGCTTTTAGGTGGCTGTGTAGCATTTCAGGGTATGACTTCACCATAATTTTATTAAGCCTGCTTCCTGCTAATGGACATTTTGTTTCTTTCTAGCGTTTTGCTGGAATAAACAAGTCATCCCTGAATGTCCTTACTTATTTGTTCTATAAACTGGTAAACTCCGCATAAGAAATTTGTTTTGAAAATAAGGTTTCCTGCTAAAAACAAAACTCAAAACGCCACAAGATTAAAGCCTCTTTCATCTCAGGCCTTCTGTGAGTCTCTTTTTCTTCAGGTGACTGACTGGGCTAAGGATGAGTTTAAAACGGGTTGGCAGCCAAGGTCTGGGAAGGAAGCCCAGGCACAGGACAGGCTTCCTGGGGTGCATGAGGGAGACAAACAGCCCAGTGCTGTGCTTCCCAGCTTGGAGGGGGTGTTTATCAAGGCCAGTGGGAGAGGAGTTGGCCAGACTTCGAGGGGTCCAGTGTTGGCCAGGAGTAGGGCTGAGAGACTGGAGCCATTCAGCTGTGTTCCAAAAAGAGCAGGGAGAGGAAGGGGAAACTAGCCCAGACACACACTGGGTGGCTGCCGGCTGGCCAGGGCTCTTGGTACAACAAGCCCAGTGCCAGGCGGTGGGGCCCAGCCAGCTGTCCCCCGGGACCCCACCCCAGACTGGGCAGGGTTAGGTCAGTTCCGCAATTGCTTCTTGGGGCTATCAGGAATGGAGTTTTATGGAGTATGGGATAATTCAGTACTTTTCCAGAGAGATGGGCTACTTGGGCCGGAAAGGTGATTTTTCTACCCATGTGGTATGTGCGACACGTGTGTAGTAATGGATCCTTTATCCTGCAAAGGGGCTGTGGCATCACTCGCCAAACTGTTCTGTGCAGAATGCTGTTGGTAAAACACCAGATCCAAAAGTCAAAAAAGCTCGGGAAATGCCAAGTCCGTCAAAATCAAGCAGAGTTCTTTACTGTGGGAATTCTCAGAGCCTTCAGTGTGCTAACAGTGTACTTCCTGACTCTTCAAAGAGGAGATGACGTAAACATTGTTTCCCTGATGTTAAGTCCTTGGAACATCCTCTGTCCCCTCAGGGAACACGTAATATCATCTTTGCTAAATGGTGTCTGCTAATTCTAATCCATAGGAAAAGGCAGAAGCCAACAGGCCCAGCTGTAAACCATCCAAGAATGTAGGACGGAGAGGCCTCTGGAATCTGGCCGATCACAGCCAGAAGATGCTGCCATATCCTACCCAAAAGTGTGCCGGGCATCTTTCACAATACAAAATGATTGACTTTCAGGAGCACGAGGGATTCCCCCAGACTTGAGGTAGGGGCAGCCCCATGCTGATCGGAACAATTGAGGGAGTACAGCAGAAGAGCTTGGGTTTGCTCCAGCCTTCATCTCTGCATCTCACTTCTTCTGGTCCCAGAGATTCAGCGACATACTTCACCACAGTGATCTCTGGGGCTCCTGTGTGTCAGGCTCAGCGCACACAGCACCATGGGAGAGACGCCCCGCTTCATCCAATTGTCATCTCCACTGTGTGGCCTCTGGGTCTGTGACCCCCACCTTTGTTGGTGCATTTTTTTTTTTTAAGGTTAAAATGCAAAGCCATCTGGGAGGAACCATTGCCACGGTCCTTAACAGCTTCTCTGCCCTGAGATTTATGTGGAAAGAGCCAAGTTTGGTGTTGGAGGACAGACTGTCTTGTAGTAGAGGCTGTGTATTCTTGAGTCACTGGGTTAGGCTGGTACCTTGTATCTATGGTCCCTTCTCCTGGAAAGAACTGGAAAATGAAATGCTAAAGAGTGAGAGAGAACTTGAGTCTTCGTTCACTCTGCCCCTGATTTGCTAATTGACATTAGAAAGTTCTTTCCTTTCCCTGAGACTTTTTCTTCCTTTGTAAAATGAAGTGGTTTAGACTATTTTAATTAATTTCTAACTTTCTCATCAGAGGAAGACTTCTGTCCAACAACGTCCTAAGAGCCATCCCATCTAAAACAGGTAAAAGTGGTCTGTAACCAAAGTGTTTTTAAGGTAATATGGCATCATAATATTATGGAAGTGTTTCCTGTAAAAGTTAGGGTAGAGGTGCTTTTAGGAGCAAGGAGATAGTTGTGATTGGTCAAGGCACCCAAAGGTCTTTCTGGGTGACTGCAAATTTCCTGATCTGAGTGGGAGTTACAAGTGGTGTTTTCCTCAGAATGTCTCAGCAAACGATAAAAATATTACTAATACGTTATAAAGCCAGTCACTGGGAACACAACTGTGTCAATTAGATTTAGCTGCAAAAGGCAAAAACTTCATAGTAAAAGTGGCTTAACAAGATAGAAGTTTACGTTTCCTTCACGTAAATGAAGTCTGGGGGTGAGCAGTCCAAGGCACTCGATGGAAACAGCTAAGAGCTCAGTGAGCATCAAAGACCCAAGGCTCCTTCTCTCTTTTGTCCACCATCTTCAACACAAAACTTCCAATCCAGAGGTCAAGATGGCTGACTGAGCTCCACCGTCTTGTCCACGATAGATCCATCCAGCAAGAAGAGGGATGAAAACAGCATGCCCTCTCACTTCAACCCCTGGAAGGAGCACAACCTTTCCTTACATCCCTTTGACCAACACTTAATTACAAGGCCTAGCAGCAAGGGAGGCTGGGAAATGTAGTCTTTAATCTGGTGACTTCAGCTCAGGTCATGATCTTACAGTTCGTGAGTTTGAGCCCCGCATTGGGCTCTCTGCTGTCAACACAGAGCCCACTTTGGATCCTCTGTCCCCCTTTCTCTCTGTCCCTCCCCCACTCTCTCTCTCAAAAATAAATAAACATTAAAAAAAAAAAATCTGTGTGGCCATGGACCCACCCAACTGTTGTTTCCACAATAAATGTAAAAAAAAAAAAATGAGTAGATTTAGGGGACAACCAGCAGAAGATGCCACAACATATTAATGGATTTTAGTTTCTGATGTGTTGAAATTAGTGGGTGACTAATGTGGGTGTCTTTGCTGTTTTAAATATAGCTTGAGATGTACAAAGTGAGGTGAATATTCATAATTTGTGGCACGGCCGGAGCACTCACAGAACACAGCTTAAAACCCCCTGAACTAGAAACTCCCCAAGAGTTTTTCCAGCTTTGACATTCTAGAATTCTATGAAAGCCCTGCCCCCTTCCATGAGCTAACAGAGGGCTTTCTCTCTGGGGACTGGCAGGGGACTTCTTGTTACCTTCAGGACTGAGAATTGTGCCCATTGTTTCTTTGGAGGCAGCTGACCTGGCCAAATATCTTGAAAAGCTCTCTGTCACAGCAGCCTTCCCCATCTCGGCCTGGGAGTTCCCCAGAGGTGGTGTGGTTTACTGAGGCATTGAAAACTCAGCATTTCAAAGCAGGGGCTGTCTGTGTCCTGGCTAGGAGTGGCTCAGACTTGCCCTCACGATTTTCGGAGACCTTTATAACAGAAGGAACCACCTTTGGTTCAACTCTTCCATTTTTCAGAGGAGGACGCAGGGATCCAAAGAGGTTGAGACTTTGAAGTCCCTAAGCAACTAGGTACTGACTTGTCCTAAAGCTTTTCCATCACCACTCATTACAATAGCGTGAATTTAATGTACACGTCCTATGTGCCGGGCCAAGCGCATCACATCCAAAAATCTCATTTAATCTTCACAAAAACCCTGAGAGATAGGTACAATTTTTTTTTTTCTTTTTTGGTCATTTTACAGATTGGGAAACTGCAACCTCGATTTGCCCAAGGCCTCGCCGTTACCAGGTGTGGATCAGAACTGGAACCTACGCAGTGAGACAGCGGAGCCCGCACCTTGACCTCTGTGCTCAGAATGGCTGCCTTCCACGGATGCTCCGGGTGTGAGGAGGACCGACTTTACTCCTAGTAAAGTGCGAGGGGCACATCGTTGCCTGAATGAAGCCGCTTGGACATTGCATCCGTTCAGACCACTCCTTGCCCCAGATGTAGCTCTGTCATCAGCAGCTTGGTGTCGAGTTCAAGGTGTCTTGGCACCAGGAATAATGTGCCCGGAGGCGTGGGTACCTAACTTTCCACCAGGGCAAGAGCCCGTCCCCCAGATTTACCATGAGCACCTGTCCTATCTGTCCTACCCTGTCTGGGTGAGGCAATCCTCCAACACCACAAAGAGGACCAAGTACCCCTGCAAATGTACTGACCCTGGGTGTGGGGACCTCCCCCATCTCTGGGCCGTCTCTGGACCTTGCCTGAGTAGCCTGTAGCAGGTCTTCTTTGTGACAGCTTTCTGTGTTGGATACTGGGCCTTTCTGCCTGTTATCACTCACTTTTCCCCTGAGCAAAGACGCTGAGGAATTGTAGGGACAATAGGAATCTCTCAGTAGAGAAGCACCATAGGGAGTTGCTGTGGAGACCTGAGCTGTTTAGCTCACCCCAGCTCTTCAGGTTTCTCCTTGTCCTCTGGCGCAAGAAGCTTCTAATCTGTTCCAGAGTCCAAGGAAGGATGGGATGAGGTCACAGGCCTGAGATACTTTATCTTAGAGAAGGTTCTAGAAAGGCCCAGGGGCTGAAGGTACTGTTTTTGGTCCTTACTCTGACCACATTTCTGAAAGGAATGTTGGTGGGGGTTGGGCATGCTCGGCAGCCTGTTCAGAGGACAGCGGGGTTCAGACAGTGAAAGGCCTTCCACAGAGCTGACCTGCCTCTGTCAAGAGCATAACCCTGGAAAATCCCAGAGCTTCACATGGCCCAGTCTGTGCAGACTCACAACGGAAGAAAACAAAGTCCCCCCATCACCGGTCATTTAGAAGCTCCATAATCTCTACCTCCATATCTCTAACAGCATTAAAAGGGATCTAATTAATAATCCACACAAAACTCCATTTCTGTTTCCTCAAATTCCCTCATCTCCTTAATGAGGTTTTTGGAGTGGTCGGGGGGGGTGGGATTCAGAGCTGATGGCCAAGAAAGAAATCTTTTAAAAAAAAAATTTATTTTTAACGTTGATTTATTTTTGTGAGAGAGAGAGAGAGTGCAAGAGGGGGAGGAACAGAGAGAGAGGGAGACACAATCTGAAGCAGGCTCCAGGCTCTGAGCTGTCAGCACAGAGCTGATGTGGGGCTGGAACTCACGAACCCCAAGATCATGACCTGAGCCGAGGTTGGATGCTTCACCGACTGAGCCACCCAGGCGCCCCAAGAAAGAATTCTTGAAGACCTCTTTAGTGCAAAAAGGTGATTTTGTTAAAGCACGGGGACAGGACTCATGGGCAGAAAATGCTGCACTGGGGTTGTGAGGGGTGACTGCTTAGATACTGTGGAGTTGGGGACATAACGTCAAGAGGAAGTTTCTTAAAGGGATTTTCATATGCTAAAGAAGACTCACAGATTACTGGAGGCCTAGCTATTGTCGGGCTAAGTTTATTTTCTCCTTTAGCAAAGCATTAACATTAAGACAGTAGGGAGTTCCTGGATTTTAGGCTGTTGGTAAGATTGTCCTTTTTTTGTAATTGTACTAAGATATTTGTAAACTGATAGAGACTCTTTTTAGTTTGACCATTTGTTTTCTGTCCTTCCCTTTGTTCTTGGGCAGCCAGAAGTACTTGAAGAATGTCACATATACCCCACCTGGGGTTGGGGGGTGCTAGCTTGTACTTTGCCCTCAGCTTGCCTTTTGGTCCCTCATCATCCTCACTCTTGTTGCCTAACTGCCAGGAAACTGCAAAACCCCACACCTAGGACCTGTGGATTTTTGTCTCTTCCTTCCTTCCTACTAATTAAAAATTTTTTTTAATTTTTTTCGATCTTTTGATTTTGAACCTATCATAGATTCACGAGACACTGAAAAGACATTAGTACTCAGAGGCCCCATGGACCCTTTACCCAGTTTCCCCCAATGGTCTCATCTTCCATAATTCTTTCCTATTAAACTTTAATAGCTCACCTAATCCTTGCCACACCTCCATGAGATCACTCTTCTTGTGACTGTTTTACATAAGGAGAAACTGAGTCCCAGAAAAATGAAACACATTGTTCAAGATCCCCAGCAATTCGGTGGAGAATCAGGACTTAACAATCCAGATTTCTTGGCTCCAAAGTTTGTCCGTGCTCTCATTATTTCTTATTCTTCCCCCATCCCCTCTCTGACCCTCTCCGGGAAAAAGAAAAAGTCCTGAAGAGGCCCAGCCCCTGAAAGAATGCAGTTCTTTACATGCCTCAGAAGAGGAAGCGCCAGAATTTGCTGAAAAGTTGGAGGAGCCTCCCCTGCATAGCTTGGCTGTAGAGTCATCAAAATTATGCTTGTGACCCAGACACTGCTTCAGACACTGCTTCAGATCCTTTCCCAAGCTGGAACACATTTTCTCCTTCCCTTAATGCTGCTCTTTGCCCGGTGTCTTTCTTCCTCTCCCAACCCCCCCCCCCCCCCATCCCCTGCTTTGATGTTTCTCTGACTCCAGAGGGTGAGTCTCCTGTGCCACGTAACATCATCTCCTTTCTGGTAAAGATACGACTGTGGCTCACCTTGCCTCGTAGACATGAGAAACTGCTCTGTGCCTGCTGAATAAATGTGAGATCTCCTCAGAGCCAGAACACTGGTTTCTTCTCTGGAAGGTGACAGAAAACCCAACCCCAAAGAGCAGAAGCCAAAGGGGACAGATTGGTCTCTGTTAAGGAAAAGCCCAGGAGTAGGGCCGTTTAGCACGTAAGGATTGCACTCAGCTGTGTGTCACAGAAACTTGACCCCAGAGCTTTGGCCTCACTTTGCAAAGCCACCTGGCCATGACCTAGAGTAAGCAGTCAAGGGTGCCGCTGTGTCTCCTTCCACCTGCCTTCCCCGGTGGCTTCCACGCTCCTGCTGCTCCGTTTCCAGTCTTGGGTCTGCAGTCCGGAAGGAAGGGAACAAAGGGCAAAACTCTCCCCCCTTCCCCAGGCTTCCTCAGAAGCCCCAGGCACGGACTTCTGCGGCAGGTCGTTGGCCAGAACCAGGTCCCATGGCCTCCCTGCGCTGCAAAGGCATCCAGGAAGCTGAGTATTTGGGGTCGGACATAGAGCTAGCTCCCTGAGCAAAACTGAGCGTCTGCTGATTATTCAGAAGAGCAGGCAAATAGCGGTTTAGGGGCTCAGGCCAACGTCCCGGGGCCAATCTCCGTCTCTGGGTCTCATTCTGTCTCTGCCTCTCTCCACTTTCTTCTATTTCGTGTTGGCTTTATGCTCATGCAGGCCTCCGTGTGATCTCAGGAAGGCTGCTGCTACTTTGGATCGTACATCCACTCCTGGTCCAGCCCAGGAGGAAAAGCCTAGATTCCGTGTCGTACTCCATGTCGTGTTCCTCCCTGATACAGTTACTGTGGCCATGGGGATCAGGGTGGCTTAGCCTAGTCTCACGCTCTGTGTCTAAGCTGGACTGAGTACAGGAGAGGGTATTAGCCGAGAGGGAAACCAAGGCATGGTTCCCAAAGAAGGGGAAAATGGGCGCCGGTGGTCCCACATCAAACATAACCAATCACAAACAAATACTCCATGAGGAACCTCAGGAGTCATTACGTTCAGACATGGTTAAATCACTGAAGGTGTGTGACAGCTTCCTAGATATTTGATCGAAATTTCATGTTTTAGATCAGTGGTCTAGTGTGGTCTAGGGGTACCTGGGGGTCCCTTTAAGGGTCCAAACTATTTTCATACTACTACTAACGTCGTCTGCCTTTTTCACCCTCACTCTCTCCCAAGAGTCCAGTGGAGTTTTCCACAGGTGACATGCCATGTGGCTCGGACAACTGCTGGGATGTTGTTTGTATATTCTTGGGTTTTATTTTATTTTATTTTTTTTTTTTAATTTTTTTTTCAACGTTTATTTATTTTTGGGACAGAGAGAGACAGAGCATGAACGGGGGAGAGGCAGAGAGAGAGGGAGACACAGAATCTGAAACAGGCTCCAGGCTCTGAGCCGTCAGCCAGAGCCTGAGGCGGGGCTCGAACTCACGGACCGCGAGATCGTGACCTGGCTGAAGTCGGACGCTTAACCGACTGCGCCACCCAGGCGCCCCTATTCTTGGGTTTTAAAAAGATCTTCGTTTTGGGGTGCCTGGGAAGCTCAGTCCGTCTGACCTCAGCTCATGTGGTGATCTTGCGGTCTGTGAATTTGGGCCCCACGTCAGGCTCTGTGCTGACAGCTCGGAGCCTGGAACCTGCTTCGGATTTTGTGTCTCCCTCTCTCTGCCCCTCCCCTGCTCACACTCTCTCTCTCAAAAATAAACATTAAAAAAAAAAAAATCTCATTTTAATTTCTAATACAGTAAATATTGATGTTTGTAACCCATGAAATAAAAGTACTTTAAGGGCCACAATCATTTTTAAGAAACTAAAGGGGTCCTGAGACCAAAGATTTGAGAGCTGTTGTGAAGGGTAGCAGAATATACTGCCCCGTGTCACTTTGGCATACCTTGAAGTGGCCTATTCTGCTACCCTTTAGCTGGTTCAGATATTAAGTTTACTTGAAAATCTTAATTAAATAAGACACTCTTAGATCTTAAATAACATTACATGACAAATTTTAACACATTCTAGGTCATCATTAGTTTAGCTCTTTTTTTTTTAAATTTTATTTATTTTAAATTTACATCCAAATTAGTTAGCATATAGTGCAACAATGATTTTGGGCATAGATTCCTTAGTGCCCCCTTACCCATTTAGCCCATCCCCCCACCCACAACCCCTCCAGTAACCCTCAGTTTGTTCCCCATATTTATGAGTCTCTTCTGTTTTGTCCCCCTCCCTGTTTTTATATTATTTTTGTTTCCCTTCCCTTACGTTCATCTGTTTTGTCTCTTAAAATCCTCATATGAGTGAAGTCATATGATTTTTGTCTTTCTCTGACTAATTTCATGTAGCATCATACCCTCCAGTTCCATCCACGTAGTTGCAAATGGCAAGATTTCATTCTTTTTGACTGCCGAGTAATACTCCAGTGTGTGTGTGTGTGTGTGTGTGTGTGTGTGTGTGTGTGTGTGTGTGTATACCACATCTTCTTTATCCATTCATCCATCGAGGGACATTTGAGCTCTTTCCATACTTTGGCTATTGTCGATAGTACTGCTATAAACACGGGGGTGCATGTGTCCCTTCAAAACAGCATACCTGTATCCCGTGGATAAATGCCTCATAGTGCAATTGCTGGGTCGTAGGGTAGTTCTCTTTTTAGTTTTTTGAGGAACCTCCATACTGTTTTCCACAGTGGCTGTACCAGCTTGCATTCCCATAGTTTAGCTCTTTTTTATCCATCAGGCTTAGCTGTGAGACCTAGACTCACTCTATTTTATTGCTCTGCCACACTCAACTTGAGGGTTAAACCTCATGTTCCAAATAGCTGGTTAAACTCCACCCATCCCAACTGCATTCCATCAGCAAGGCACTTCCAGAAACTTCATATGGCACCACCACTATACCTTTTGGTCAGGACTTAGTTAGAGAGCCTGCCTGTGAAGGAGTCTGAGAAATTCTGTTTTTTAAACTGTTTGTCAGTTAAACTCAGAGATTCTATTCCCTAGAAAGAAGAGTATATAAAATATCAGTGGTCAACTATTAGGTTAACTTTTTTTGTGTACAGACCCTGGAATAAAACTTCTCCTTTATTCTTTAATTGCAAAGTGTCCTGTGTTTCAAAGTGAGCTGTCTAAAAACAGTGACCGTTTACGACTATATATCTTTAAGTTGATATTTTCTCAATAACAGGCAATAAAAAAAAATTATCACTCAATGAATTGGATGCTGAGGCTGATTCAAATCTGCAATTGTCATCCAAAACCTAGCTTCAGTTTCAAGTTTTTATGGTCATCAAGGCCCATTCTTCTCATTGGCTGGCTTTAAAACAAAAA